GACACAGACAATGCATAAAGTTAATTCAAGTTATCTTACCATAAGCAGCATTTTGCTTAGTCTCATCAAAAGGCATCAAAGCATTTATCCAGGAGAAGTGGTTAATATGCTCTTGTAATTTGCTGCGCTTGGAATAATCGGCTATATCAGTAAGTAGATAATTGAATTCTTACTCCATATAGTTGATGTTCGTGATAAGCAGAAGGAGTTGGGATGATTCATGTGTAAATTAAAAAGTTTGGAAATTGTGTTCGTAGAGTGGACCATTTTGTACACTTACATACACTTGTGCGGGTTGACCTTCTGAAAGCCTGTGATTTTCGAATTGCTTTCAAGGATTATTTTCAGAAAATGTAATACTCCAACATGTCTTAAATAGCCCATAACATTATACTACCCATAAACTATGCTCAAAATCAGATATACTTGTTTGAACGTGGACTGGGAAACATTGAGTGAATTGAGGACAATACTCCAGTCGTTCAAAATGTGAAATATACTAGGGAGTACTTGATGTTAAGCAAGCACATGCTCGACTAGCTGGAGATGATGCACGAACGTGTGAAGATACCAACAAAATGTATTGTGCATGTGAATTTTACACGCTCTTGTTTAGTTTTGGCTTTTGTTGTGTTATACGCTCCAAAAGTCTGCAGATTAACTTTAAATCAGTTTATTCTGATCAAAGTTAGTTTACTTTTCAGATCTGAGTCTATTTAAATTATAGGAAATTGTGTCTTATAAGATAACAGTTATATATATTTTTGTGCACTCATTGATTTTTATCGCTGATTTATAAAGGTCTATATACATCTAAGTTATATTTAAATTTCTCCGCCAGTCCGTTCTAGACAGTATGCCCATAAAGAAACCGCTTCGGAAGGGTTATGTGCCAATTTCCAGTGGATGAGGGAATGCAGTGTGATAACTGCAAGAGATGGTTTCACAGTATGTGCACAAACCTAACTCCTGCAGCATACAAACGCTGCTGCAAACCTCTAGCAAACTGGTTGTGCAATGACTGTTGTAGTACTACCAAACTCCGTTTTACAGAAGCCATTGCCACTCTTAGCGGGGCTTTAAAGCTCATGGACTGCAAGGGTCTTCCATCACAGGAGAAGACTGACTACTTCTCAGACACCGAAGATGCGACTAGCGTCATCGACAAGACAGTACATGTTCCTAATGAGTCTTTGTCAATGACTGAGTGCCCTTCAGCACAGAAGAGCACTCACCACATTCCAGACACCCAGGCTGCCCCCACGATACTGAATAAGCCCTCCAGTGACAGTAATGGAAAGACTGCCACAAAGAAGAGGCGTACCAGAGGTCGAAAACCTGCAACTCACGTCACCCAAGGACTAGTGGATCAAGCCTCATCCATACCGGTGAGTAGCAGGCAGATAATTCCATCTACGATTAGTGAGGAGAATACCAATGGATGGCGTAACGTAGTCTCTCGCAAAAAGTGAGATAAGGACAATACATTGGCCACACTGCCCACGAAGAACAGAAAGACATTCACGCCGCAGAGCAAGAAAGGCACGGCAAGCAAACCTGATCTCTCTGACAGGTCGCTCATTCTTCACAAAGTGGAAGAGTCACTGGCCCCCGAACCCAAGACCAGATTCAAACATGACCTTAATTTGGTCAAGCCCCTTTTAGACAAGCTACTGCCACAAACAGTATCAGGCATTACTATACATTGCGTATATAGGATAGGCCAAAAGCCTGACCCTACAGTAAGTCAGCCTGTATGTCTCCTTAAAGTCGTACTAAACTCTAAAGAAGAGAGGGATGCTATTCTAAGCAACTCTCATATACTTAAAGGATCAGGCATATATGTCCGCGCCGACTTAAGCCTGGCAGGCCGTGTCAAAAGACAGTCTGCGGCCCTAGAATTAAGCGAACGACGCCAAAACGGCGAAAAGAGCCTTAAGATTAAGGGTTTTCGGGTTGTCCAAGTTCGCGGTTTAATGATCCCGAAACCTCTGTGGGTAGGCCGGGGAAGCACCAAACTGAATTAACAGTTTGCTACACAAACGCCCACAGCCTGTTAAATAAACGGACTGAGCTGGTTAACATGATAGACTCCGGAAACCCGGATGTAATTATTATCACAGAGACATGGCTCACACCGGATGTCACTGACAGCGAAGTTAACCTACCAAACTTCGAAGTGCATAGGGTGGACCGACTAAACCGCAAAGGAGGTGGCGTAGTCATCTACCTCAAGAAATACTTAACCGTGCGTAGTATCGAAGCACTCGCTCACGAAAGTGAGTCGTGCGAACTTCTACGCTGCAGACTTAAATGCATAGGCCAAGACATTGACCTCATTGCTATGTACCGCAGTCCTGACTGCAGTGCAGATGACTTCCTGATAGAGAAGCTAGGCTCCTGGACCTCGAAATGTCGAAGTCTCCTAGTTGGCGACTTCAATGCCCCAACAGTTGACTGGACGAGCCTAACAACTCCACCCTCAGTCAACTCCTTTGATTATAGACTGCTGGAATCTAGTATATCGTTAGCTCTAATCCAACATGTCATAAGGCCACGGGCTATGACTCACAGCACTCCTCTTCAAATCTGGACCTAGTGTTCTCCCATGGTGAGGATGTGGATCTCATACAACATCTTCCTCCTTTAGGAAGAAGTGACCATGCTGTGCTCACTTTCAAGTTCACAGCAACGGCAACAAGGGCCAAAACCCCATCTCGACCAAACGTTTGGAAAGCTGATATAAACGCAATCGTCTCAGCAGCCAACTCAGTAAACTGGTACATCAACCCAGAGTCTCAAGTAGAAGCCGCATGGAACCAATTTAAACAACTTTACGCCCAAGTAACTGAACCTTTCATCCCCTGGTCTGTCCCAAAGGGTCGGAAACACTGCCCTCCTTCGATAAACCGAGAGATTCGTAAGTTTTTTAGACGTAAACACAAATGTTGGAACTTGTTTGCCACACTTGAGACTTCCGAGACCAGGTAATTATATAACACTGCTAGAAATAAAGCTATTGCAGAAATCCGCCAATCAAGGATGAAATTCGAAGCACACCTGGCTCAAAATGCAAAGGCACAACCTAAGAAAATTTTCTCGTACATGAACTTCAGGAATAAAACATCCAATGGTGTCCCAAACCTGACTATTGACAATGATACAATCGAAGAAGATCAAGAAAGAGCAGAAGCAATGTCAAACTACTTCTCCCAAGTCTTCACTCAGGAGTCGTCACTGCCTATAGGATCAGCTCTGGCTGCATCAGAAGAACATGGGATAGATTCCGTTGACATCGACCAAGGCATTGTGCTCAACTGCCTGAGGAAAATAGATGCAGGGACATCAATGGGTCCTGATAATCTTCACCCAAGGCTTCTCAAGGAGCTATCAGCCCACATAGCCGGCGCTTTGACTACGATCTTCAAGCTTTCTCTCCAAAATGGAGTGTTACCGCGTGACTGGAAAGACGCCATAGTAACCCCCATCCACAAAGGAGGATCAAGACAAAGCCCTTCAAATTACAGGCCTATCAGTCTCACCAGCACTTTAATTAAGACACTGGAGAGAATCATCAAGGAAAGCATAATGGCATATCTAGAAAATAGAAGCTGATTATCAAGAGCACAGCATGGCTTCCGAAGGAACCTCTCATGCCTGTCAAATCTTCTCACTGCAAGAGAAAGCTGGGTCAAATCCAGGGACAACAGAAGACCCGTTGACGTCGTCTTCATAGACTTCAGCAAAGCCTTTGATAAAGTACCTCACAAAAGACTACTCATGAAGTTGGAAAGTCTTGGTATCAAAGGCAGGTTACTAAGCTGGCTCAGGGAATTCCTCATAGGTAGGAGGCAGAGGGTTAGGATCAACTCGAAACTCTCCTCTTGGACAGCAGTACGCAGCGGAGTGCCACAAGGCACAGTACTCGGACCTCTCCTATTTATTTTGTATATCAATGAGTTATCTCTGCTCACCGACTCCCCTATGGTCCTATACGCATATGACTTAAAAATTTGGAGAGAGCTGAAGGGAAACAGTGACACGTCCACGTTGCAAGAGGACCTCAACAAATTGTCAGAGTGGTCCATAGAATGGATGCTCCCGATAAATGTGGCAAAATGTGCAACCATGCGCATTGGACAAGCAAGCACGAGCTCTTATGAACTAGAGGGAATTACACTTCCATCAGTTCAGACTCACTTGAACTTAGATGTCATAGTTAGCCACGACTTAAAAACTACAGCACACTGTCTCGCGGTGGCTGCACGTAGTTTCAGGTCATTATGGGCAATTCGTAGAGCCTTCACTAGAATCACCAGAGATATGTTCACCTCCTTATATACATCTCTGGTGAGGTCAAGACTGGAAAACTGAATCCAGGCCGCCAGCCCTTGTCTAAAAGAGGACTCACTTATTCTAGAAAGGGTTCAAAGGAAAGCAACACGTATGATTCATGGCATGAGTAAATTATCATACGAAGAAAGACTAGACAGTTTAAATCTCTTCTCCTTGTCATACAGTAGGCAGAGAGGAGATTTAATCACAATGTTTAAAATTTTAAATAATGACTATGGACCTGACCTATATTCTCTTTTCCTTCCCACCAGGTCGGAACACCTTAGAGGACATAGCAGAAGAGTTCAAAAGCAAAGAAGAAATCATATTGCTGTTGAGTACTGGTTCTCACACCGAGTCATAAACTCTTGGAACCGACTCCCAGAAGAAGTGGTGTCTGCAACCTCAGCTGATTCGTTCAAGAAGGGTTTGGACAACCACAGAAATTTACTAGAAAAGGATTAACATAGGCTCCAAGCCTTATATTCTCAACCAATAAATCTGAATCTGAATGACTGGATTTCTTCGCGTTAAGATAAAAAACGATGGTAGACAACTAGTACTGAAACCGGAGATAAAAACTGTGTGGAAATATTTATTTCTACACATTTATACTTTTGAAGGCTGTAACAATGTAGGTTTGATATAGAATGCATTCTTTTACTACACCAGTGTCTCATAGATGTCCTTGTGGTGCGTGATAAGCAATCACGTGCTCTTTTAATCTTAGGTTATGAAGTTGATTAGGAGTTTTGTATGTTTATTATTGAATATTTTGATGAATTTATAGAAAAAGCGATCGTCTGCTATTGATGCAACAAATGTAGGAGAGGTGGTGAGAAAAACAAGAGTAAAACACGTAAGTATGAAATTTTTTTAATTACATATATTTTTTAGCGCCAAATGGCAGATATATCTACGCAAATTAACAGTCTACTTGTTCGTAATAAGCGTAAGTATTCAGTTTGTGTATATGAACGTTTATGCTCCAATATTTGAAATGCTTTTGTTTAAGGAGTAAAAATGCGATTGCATATTTCAATTGATATATGTCTTCCATAGAATATGACTAGTTCACCAATATCTAAACGAAAAAGACATAATTAGAGTATTCCGACAAGTGACCACTGATTATATGCGGCGATGGGATTGAATGTGATCCGTTAAACGACGTAATTAATTCACTTACCTCTTCCTAGTCGGATTAGAATAAGCGTAGAATCGTTTAAATGGGAAAGCAGTGGTCAATTTATGGGGAAATGTCGGCCCAGATAGGTAGAATATTGGTTATATTTTCCTCAAATGATAGTCAAAATGATAAAAACTGTTATAGACGACGAAAATTCAACCGTTTTACTTCCTAAAAGCCACATTCATTATTCGCCTATTATTCACCTGTCTTGTATCACTTTTGCCCGATTGGGTAAGATGGACATTCAATTTGTAAGTCAGAAAATTTTCTCGTGAACCTGGGTGTGGAGGGTAAAAATGTGGGTAGAATCGCGTTCATAACTGGGTCAAGCGAATAATAGTGGGATATGTTTGGAAATGGTGTGGATGATATATACTCAGTCCATACAATTTTTTTACTAACTTCTTTGAAATAAGCCGGCTGATGAAACCATATCTGTAAAACGGTGCCAGAAATTCCAACGAAAGCGCGAAATATTTCACAAGGGCCTTTTGTACTGAAGTGGAATATTTTGAATTCTTTTTCACGTTCACATCTAATGGAGATATTCACTGCACAGAAAGTTGGTTAGTAAATACACTGTATCAGAAATATATACGAAGGATGTGAAGTAACAGTGGACCATGCGGCATAAGCTTACTAATACAAGATTTCAACTAAACTTGTACGACACTACATGCCGCTGATTGACTGACATGATTAGTTGGACACCACTTACATTTCAAGGAAAATATGGTGACATTTCATATCAGACTATCTAAATTCCATTCATGCAGCAGATCTAACCTGTGGGACTAAATATTCAATATGAAATGAGCATGATGTAATTTAATGCGCAAAATTGTCAAGCGGAGACAATTCTTTGGTGGTTAGTAGTTAATCACTTTGTTCCAGCTCAGAGAAACTCAGTTTCCAGGATCTCTATCAGAATGTGAATTGTATGCGTTATCTGCAGCAGATGGTTTCTTTCATTCCTTCACGTTCTCAGTGGAACATAGGGCTTCAAGCTAGAGACTTGAAGTTTCTTTAGCAGTGTTTATTTTTACAGGATGGGGTTGCTAGCCTCATGCGCAACTTCCGCTCCTTACCAATCCTATTACTAGCTTAGCGAGGTAAAGGAGTGCGTCGGCCAAGGGTCGACCCCGGACCACCTGGGTGGTCGGCGAGCATTCTGCAGCTGTGTCGCCGACATTTGCAGCAAATTGTAATATCCTAACTATGTTCAAACGTGTGTGGTCACTATGTGTAGTATGCATGTTATTTAGTTCGAATACAGTGTTGTCTACTCCGAGAGGAGAGTATGAACTTGAAAATCACTGTTTAACTTATAACGGATTTAAATCAGTGAATACACACCGCGCAAACCATATAGGTTGATTAATCTGCTAATACATTCCTGCCAAACTATGTTTTAATAAAAATAAGAAATGGAAAGCTCGCGTTCCATATGCACTCTTCTGGTTCACTTGTGTCTTAGTTACGAGTTTTGTTTTTGGAAGAAGTACTTTTTTTAATAAACTTCCATTATTAAACTGCAAACAGTGTCCCATAATTTTTGTTCACATCTGTATACCATAATACCGTTTAAAAAATCTGTCAACCGAAACTTCATAATAACATGGAAGCTATTGTACAAGAAGTTGTACTTTTTAATCCAAATATCTGTAAAATACAATGTGTATGAAAGACTGCAAGTCCCTTCTGCCTGCATGTAAAATAAGAATGGTATTACGTAAGGACATCGATGGAATCTCTATCAAACTGTTATCCAACATCCCAAAGTTTAGAAAACAGAAAGACTGAGCGAAGAAATATTTGCTTTTCAATTAGATTCTCATCTCTGGCTCTACTCTAATATTTATAGCATTTTTATTACAATACACAACAATTTACCAATCAAGTGGCGATATGTTTGTTAACAATAATTAGTCGGTGTCAAAATGCCAATGGGTTGATAATAAACGAAGAAAATCAATACACATTTACCTAATTGTACGTTGTCTCTTCACAGCCACCTCTATTCTACGTTCGAGAAATAAGGATAAACTACCCGTTTGACCAGTTTGACTACAGCTGCAGAGCCAGCTACATTGGGCGTATAATTAGGCAAGTTCATCATCGTATTTCCAAACTTTATCCAACATGGTTAAGCAAGGGACAAACAAGATCTATTCGTAGCTCTATTTTAGCACACCTTGTAGATACTGAGCATAAGGTTGATGTGATTACAGCATTTAAAATTATCTATCGCATTCCGAATAATCTTAATTTTGCTCTACGAGTTCGTCTTCTACGGAGAGCTGAAGCAATCGGAATCCACCTGAAGAAGCCAAACCGGTGTGTTCAGAAGAAATTTGTACAGCCACTTTCCTTACCTTGGCCATCGTAACAAGAATGCATAAACTGGACTTCCTTTTAAATGTGTATTGATTTTCTTCGTTTATTATCAACCCATTGGCATTTTGACACCGACTAATTATTGTTAACAAACATATCGCCACTTGATTGGTAAATTGTTGTGTATTGTAATAAAAATGCTATAAATATTAGAGTAGAGCCAGAGATGAGAATCTAATTGAAAAGCAAATATTTCTTCGCTCAATCTTTCTGTTTTCTAAATGTCTAAATGTGAATTTTTTCTATTTCGCAAAGTTTCTCGGTGTGACGTTTTCCAAAAACGCCAACAGTGGTTAAAATTGACATTTATACAGTTAGTCTAGTTGCTAGTGCTTTTCTCCTTCCTATTTATTTATTGTCATTTACCAGGCCAGTATCACACCATCGTGTCTGTTAAAACTATTTAGATCTGACCATAAATTTAGGGTCTCTTCAGTCAGCCTTTTGTTTCATGACATGAAGTCTTTTTGCAAAACATAGACACCATTAAATTAACTTTACTTTCTGTTTCTATCAAGTGAAATGCAATCGCTATTATGTTTCTGTATTCATTTAAATCAGCTAAATGCTTTGCAATAGACATCTGTCTCTATTTACTTTTTTTATGACTGTGCTTAACTTACTGTCGTTTCCTCTAAGTACGCAACGTCACAAAAGCCGCACTCTATTTGGTACACACGGTTATGCTGGTTTTCCTCGGTTATTATATGACTGCTTCGCTGAATTAAACACTTCACTTTAAAGTGGCGGGTTCCACATCCAAATCTGATATCACCTACCTCACCCTGGGTCACTGGATAGTATCACTAGTTGTTATACAATATTTGTGACACATGGAAAGTCTGTGTCGGGTACCTGGGTTCTAACCATTTTATGTTTAACTATTGCTGAGTGCATAGTGTTTGCTTAATAAAGTGCATTTCTCTTTTGTTCTCTTTATTAATTCTTTCCACTTCTTGCCAAGTTTATCAGAGACAAGGAATAAACACATAGTGTTAGATCATCTCATTGCCGGAAACTTTGGCTTCTATTAACTATACGCCCTGAAAAGTTCTTGAGAAATGTGTCAGAATCACTATTCAAATCAAGAGTATACGGGATAAAATTCAGCTCATTGGTTTTGCATTCCTTCCGTGTAGCAAGTCGCTTAGCTCTGTTTATCAGATCCCAGTCTATTGTTACTTTCGTGATTAAGGGGTGTACTAAATTAGAAATAGTGTCTGTTTAAATTTGTCGGTTTTCTCAGAATATTCATATTCAGTTTATAATCTTTTTGTCACTCACCTAAGTCATCTAAGAAGTTCAGTTTATGCAGGCCGAGCTGAATGTCTTCAGAAAGAGAGAGAGACAAATGGAGCAGAGTTTTCAAACTGAAAATGTTCACCTAGAGTACTGCATTAAATAATTACCAACTCACTTATGGTAAGGTACAAAGTCCCATCAGTACAACTTTTTCTCACAACTGCATGAACAGATTAGTCACTAACAGAACAAGCATATGCCTCATTGTCGTACCCTTTGTTTGAGGATGGAAATTTCTGAATTCCGATATTGTTAAATATATACGTGATTCCAAAGACATAGTGGTTTCATCTACACCTCGTGGATAACGTGTATTTAGTTAGCTAATTGATTGTCATATACCAAGTGATTCATAATGAATTGTAAATGGGAGCATTTATAAACAAGGAATGGATATCAGAACTTATAATTTTCACATATTCTTTGGTTTGGATGGAAAAGATTTTGTCTGTAAATCTTACGAGTTCTTCAACCTCTTTTCCACCCTGTCTTCTTCTTATTGTTCGCTTGGGTTCCTAGTGGAACATAGGGCTTCAACTGCACGTCTCCACTTGCTTCTGTCTTCTGCTGTACTTTTCACCTGCATCCATGTTAGTCCATACTGTTTCAACTCTTCTTCACACGATCTCCCCCATGTCACCCTTGCACTGACGTCCCACTCGCCGCTTCCCTTTCGGGTTCCACTCGAGCGAAAGCCTGATGCGCGATGTCACCCAGCGGCCTCCTCAGCGAGTATCCAATCCATCTCCACTTTCTCCTGCATATTTGTTGGGCGATTGGTTCTTGTTTTGTTTGTTCCCATAGATTCTTGTTTGTGATTCTTTCTGGCCATCTGATCTTCAGTATAGAACGAAGACAGTTGTTGATAAAGGTCTGCAACAGGCTGTTGGAAATATTCTTTGTGACCCGCCAACTTTCTGATCCGTATAGAAAAACTGACTGACTTGACTTTTGTATTGAAAATCCGAATTTTGTTGTTGATGTTGAGTGACGAAGATTTCCAGATTGGTTTCAGGTTGATGAATGTGTTTCTCGCCTTCCCGATTCTCGATTTGACATCCTCGTCCGTTCCATGTGCCTGTAGTTGAGACAATGCTCCCTAGATAAGTGAATGAAGTAACCTCTTTCAAATCCCTCCCGTTGATGGTGATTGGCGGTGGATGTTGCTGCTGCTGTTGTTGGTTGGTTGGTTGGTTATTTTCATGACCTCCGTCTTGTCTATGTTCACCTGGAGTCCTGTCTTTGCTGCTTTTGGTATACATTTTATTGAATTCTAAGTTGTTTAGATACCTAAATGATAGTGAACGAGGGATACACTTAGTGGACTTCTGGCAATCCGTAACATCTTCAAAAGTTCTAAACGTTTTGGAGATGATGAGAACCACAGTGATTGTTTAATTGTTATTTAAATGACCATGACATTTAGTTATTCGTAGCTTTTAGTTTATCTGATTGGGTTTGTGATCTTCTCAGACTAGTTTCTCTAGACTTCAGTCCTTTTCTCAAACTCTGATAGGTACAAAATAACTTTAGCATTGCTTTTGTAAGCTTCTCTGATGATTATTTAATTATTTCGACATCAACTTTTTTAAGTCAAGGTATTCGTTGTTATTTGTGCTTGGAATGTTTAGTTTCTGATTCACTACTGTCCATGATACTTGATGATTTGCTTTACTTGCTGTTTCATTTGTTGGCGCTGGTTTAATTACTGGGATAATTTTAAGAATCATGATATATGTCACTCGTTTAAACTGAAGTTAAGATCTTTTGTGGAAACAGTAATATTTTACATTTAGACACATTTCACTAGTTGATTAACTGCAATCTTGGTAACATCAATATTTTTAAATTGATATGCTTAGCATAATGTTAAAGTAAAATAAAGTATGGCTTTTACTACTAGAATATTTAATATTTTAACACCATATGCTTACCAAAGTACTGGAGTGCATAAGTCTGCCAAAAGGAATTGAATCAGTAATATATTTTATTCACTCATCCCTATTTGAACATGAATTTGATTATACTAGAAATTAAACAGGTGTATACATATTATCAATAACTTACGATTTCAAAATGATAATACCATTCCACGAGATTTAGAAAACCTGGATAAATAAATCCTTAAGAATTTACAAGTGAAATAATTATTTATAAAACGTTCGGCCAAGTGTGCATCCGAAAACAAAAAAGGGAATTTCGTCCTGTTATTTGGTGATGTTGACTAGCAGTGGAATCCAGAATGAATATTTCGTCCTATCTGGGACTCATCAACCGGATGTGCCTACAATCCTCAGTGAGAGATGCTGTTCCCATTGAGATGCGAATTCATTACCCAAAGCATTATCCACTGGACCACTTACGTCACGATAACCATCTTTTAGGCAAATAGTACTGGTTATTAATTGTAGGCACATCCAACTGGTGATTCGTGAATGGGGAAGAAAATTTTCTTTATGATGATTCATTTTCATAAACAAAGAAATCGTAAGACCAATCAGATACTGGTAAAATTTGTCCTCGAAAAACGTATTACGCAATGCAAGGTGTAATCTAGAAGGGGTTACTAATTGGAAGATAGAAAAGAGGCAAAAGTTGGCGTGACGCAATAAGTGTAAGATAATGACTAATCAATAAGATTGTGTAGAATGGACAGGAACTAGTGGAAAGGCGATAAAGTGTTTTTTATATAAAATCTGTATAGAAAAGCAATGTTATTAATAAATATCAATAGAGTGATAATAAAATATGGATGATGGGAATAATAATGATAATAAAATAATATTTTTTTATTCCTTCACTTTCCCTGTCGAATATAGGGCTCCAAGCTAGAAGCTTGAAGTTTCTGTAGCAGTGTTTATTTTTACAGCATGGGGTTGCTAGCCTCATGCCCAACCTTCCCTCTTTACCAGCTTTTTATTACTAGCTGAGCAAGGTAAGGGAGTGCGTCGGCCGGGAGTCGAACCCCGGACCATGTGTATGGTCGGCAAGTGGCCTAACCGACGCACAAAATAATATTAGTAACAACAATAATAATAGTAAAATTACATAGTAAAAGAAGGAAGAAAATTGTAGTTAGAACTTTACTCTGGCCACAGTAGGGCGAGTGAATGTATGTGGCGCCTTTGAGTGCAGAGGTCCGGTGGCAGATCTCGAATACCTAATGCTTAAGCTGTGTACAGATGGCGAAGTCCCTTTGTACGATATTGAGGGACTGTAGCACCGTGAAGCATTCATGTGAGGATGCTCGATGTCCGAAGATGACAAGGTGCTCGAGGATGGAGCTGCCGCTATTCTTCTTTTCTCTGACTAACCAACCTGAACAGTGTTCCAGAATACGTTTGTGGACTTGACGTTGCGTAAAGTCGATTTAATTTGCTCCACATGGGCAAGTAAATTGATAAATACACGTTGCAATGGCCAAAAGCCGTATCTTGTCCTTAACGTTAGACTGGATTAACTGTCTACTGAAGACTGTGATGCGTAAGATGGCTATTTGAAATGTCTTCTACAGACATTTAGAAAGGCGGGTTTCTAAGAATATCTGCTGCAATGTCACCTTTGAATTCCAGGTTGATGAAGAGAGTTTTCTCAGGAACAGTTGTGATTTTTGGTGACGGAGGCTTTTCTTTTATGTTTTTGTCTATGAATCTTGGTGGATACCCATTCTCCAGTAGGGTTTCATGTAATAAACTTAATTCTATCTCCGTTTTGCCTTCCGAACAGACCTTTTTAGTCCTTGAACTTAATGTACTTACCAGATTTTGCTTTTGGATCAGTGCGGCGAAGCTCTGGAAGTTGATAAACTGTCCCGTCCTAAATAAAAGATGTGCATCTCAGACTCCACCTTTAGCCACTTAAGAACCCCTGAAGAGTCCGTATTAGGAGTCACAATATCAACAGAATTCGAACGTTTCAGTCCTATGTAACCAACCAACATGAAAACTAATATTGATTTAAACAAAGAAGTTCATCAAAATTAAAAGTTTTTACCAAAAAGCAAAAATATACCATTGATTTTGTTAAACATCACTGCTTATCATTATTTACTTTTCTTTTTTTAATTTTCTTATCTTAGAATCAACAGATTCAATCAGTGAAGTATTAAGATCACTGCTCCAGTATCTTAATTCAGATGCGATATACTGTAGCATGATATTTCCTTTAACTCGTGTAAGTTGAAATCAATAAAATCAATAATGATTTAAAAATGATGCTTAAAGAGGCCAATCTGTCTGAAGGCAGTTTTTCCATTAATTAAAAAAAATGAATTTTTGAACTTATTTCAGAGTCTAAGAAAACTCATTTATTGTTTTTCCCCTTAGTTTATAAATCCACACAAACATATACAGACACCAATAAGCCTTGCCTCAACTATAAAAACGAGTGTTATTTTTTAAATTGGTATTGATTCGCATGCTATTGTTATTGTTATCCCTTTGGATTCCGAGTGGAACATAGGGATTCAGTTGCACGCCTGCATATCATACTGTTCTCTGCAGTCCTCTTCATCTTGCTCCATGATTGCTCAAACCCTCCATAACCCCTTACACGATCTCCTCCATGTTACTCTTAACTCATCGTTTCCTATTCGGATTCCAAATGAACTATGGCCCGGTGCATGGTCACTCAACGGTCTCCTAAGTGTGTGTCCAATCCATTTCCATTTTCTTTGGCATATTTTTTGGGAAGCAGGTTCCTGGTTGGTTCGTACTCAGAGTTCACGGTCCTAAACCTGAAGACAGAAGGAAGGTTGAGCTTGGGACTAACGACCTCACTACAGAAAATCAATCCAGCGGCTACAGAAAATTTACAGAATAGCAAAAATGTAAAAAAACAACAACGGTGGTTTGCATACATTGGATTAATTTTAAAAGTATATCTTATCATTAACGTAGTTCAGTTAAGAAAAAGCTTATAAAACAGTCAGTATTCGATAACTGTTTCACTCCAGTCCTGGGAATATTTATGGAGAATTGACTGGTGCTTAGATACAAGTTTCAGTTATTGACATACTTTGAAGACCAATGATATTATGAGATTGATGATTCCGAGGTTCAGTACTCATCCAAATTTGTTCAGTAGTAACGAATTCAAATTCAAATTATGCGAATTCTCACTATTCGAAATAGTGAAAAGAATGGTTACTGAACAAAAAATATTCTTTTCAATAACTCCTTCTTCATCAGGTTCTACAGTTTCATATACATAATAGTGAATGAATTAGTGTTATTAACAACATTAATGTTGTTTAAATAACATCGAATCAATAATAATAATAATATCAATGGATTACAGTTCGATAGCATCAACATAACAATACACAATGAATATCAGACAGTCAAATTAAGAAAGACAATGATACAAATTCATGAACTAATAGTCTCCACTAACGGCCGACCACCACAATAGTAGTGGCTAGCTGGACTTGTTTCTTCTGCACACAGAACATCCGCTGTTTGGAGTGAGCGGTACCTGAATGCTTTTGGCAATTTATTTGGTACCCGGTAGATGATGGAGAAGGACTCTTCAGGGCTGACTTTGTGTCCGGTTTGGACGATGTGATATAATATCGAACTGTTGATGGTTTTTACTACACACTTAGCCATAATGGTAAATCTCCCCAAGCACGAAAAATCGAGTTCCTAGAGCAACAGCCAATATATCTCGTTCCCTCACAAGCGCAGTTGAATTGATAGATACAATTACAAGTGTCTAGTCTAGTTACTTTATCTTTCATTTGGGGAATCACAGTCGGTCGTGTAGAAAGTGTTCGCTGAAGATAATAGATCACCTAAAAAAAGTAAAAGAGAATTAGAAAAAAATTCAGATAGATTCAGTGTTAATTTGTGTTTCCGTTCTTGACACTGTCTTAAAATTAAATCTAACCTTGAACTTTCTTACTAGTCGTCAAACTAAATATGACTGTGAATGGTTAGTTCTCATAAGCTGCAAGTTAGATCAGATCAACTGTCAAGTAATTTTCAGTTTCAGGTTTTCTTCAAATAATATCTTGTCTTCACCATAAATAAAAGACAGCCGTGTAGATTCGAATGCTGTCTTTATCTGATAATTACTTCGTCGTATATCTGATCACTTCATTGTTTTAATTTCCTATAAGATATTGATCTTCTGAGTAGTGTGCCGTCTTTTTACTTTGTATAGGTTGTAAGAAATTGTAGTGATTTATGATTATCACTACCATTTTGCCAGGCTCTGCTATGTTACACATTTATAGTAGCAAGCTAACTTTTCCTTGGTGTTAGTACTCATAAAAACTATGTCAGTATGTAAGGAGGCGATGAGAATGACCAAACAACAACCACAACATACACAAATCACTACAGGCTGAGTAAGTTTTGAAATGGGTCAATTCCTTCAATTGTTTGGGCAGAATCCTTTCAACTACTTGTAGCACGGATGAGGTTTTCAAATGAAGGGTAGGGGAAGGCAAGACAAGGAAAGCATTTCCAACAGGTTATTGCAGAGTCTTGTCAGCAGCTGACTTCCCTGGATCCATACTGAAGACTGGATGTCAAGTCAGAAAGAATTAGCAACAAGAAAACAAGGAAACGAACCAACCAAGAACCTATTTATTAACAAATATCTCGAAGAAAGTGAAGATGGATCTGTCCCAGTCTGAGGACACCATCGAATGGCATCGCGCGATAGGTCATCACTGTAGTGGAACTTGAATGGGAAACAAAGAGTTAGACACCCGAGGGTGACATGAAGGAGATAGAGTAAGAGGGAGATGGGGTGTTTTTAGGCAATCATGGAGCCAGATGAAGAGGACTGAAGAGAACAGTGTGAAATGGAGGTGTGCTGTGGAAGCCCTGTGTTGCAATTGAAACCCATGGGAATAAAAATAATAATATTAATTATTATTATTGTTTCCCCTAATTCCTAGAGGAAAATAGGGCTTCAGCCGTGCGTCTCCATTGCGTTCGGTTCTCTGCTAGAGTCTTCACCTGGCTCCAAGTCTGCCCACATTTTTGCATCTCCTCTTCACATGACCTCCTCCAAGTCACCCTTGCACTGACGACCAACTCGCCGCTTCCCTTTCGGGTTCCACTCGAGCAATGGCTTGTCTAGTGATGTCACTTGATGGTTTCCTAAGAGTATGGCCAATCCATCTCCATTTCTTCCTGCCTATTTGTTTCACAATCGGTTCCTGCAAGGTTGGTTCGCTCCCAGAGATCTCTGTTGCTGATCTTTTCTGGCCGGCCATCTGATCTTGAGTCGTATTGAGCGAAGACAACTGTTAATGAAGTTCTGTAGTTTGTTTGAGGTGCTCTTTATGACGCGCCAAGTCTCTGATCCGCATAGTGAGTAGCACTGACTTCACATTGGAGTTGGAAATCCGGATCTTACTTTTGATGCTGAGTGCTGTTGACCTCCACACAGACTTGAGAGTAGTGAAAGCTTGTCTTGCTTTTCCGATTGTTGCTTTGATATCCTCGTCAGTTCCGTTCGCCTGTAGTTGAAACGATGCTTCCCAGGTAGGTAAAGGAGGTTGTTTCTCTCAGGTTCCTTCCATTTATGCTGATCGTTGTCTGTTGTTGTTGTTTCTGTTGGTGGTGTTGCCCAGGAATCTTCATCACCTCTGGTTTTTCTATGTTCACCTGAAGTCGTATCTTCTCTGGATGCTTCTTCTGCCAAATTGTTGCTTTTCGCTTGCATATCTTCCAGTTTGTGGGAAATCAGACATATATCATCGGCGAAGTCCAGATCCTTCAAGTCTCTTTTTGTGTGAGTCCATTTTATGCCTGTTACCTCATTGCCCGCTGTCTGTCGCATTATCCAGTCTACTGCAATCAGGGAAATCATTGGCGATAGTAGGCAACCTTGTCTTACTCCTGTCTTCACTTCGAAGGATTCCGTGAGCTTCCCGTTGTGGATTACTTGGCATGCAGCGTTGTCATACAACTGTTGGATGAGATGTATAATTGTCGGCGGCACCCCGTAGTAGCGAAGTAGTTGCCAAATCACCTCTCGATCGACGCTGTCGAAGGCCTTTTCAAAGTCGATGAAGTTGAGATAGAGAGGTGACTGCCATTCCAAACTTTGTTCAATGATGATCCGTAGTGTGGCGATTTGACCAATACATGACTTGTTCCGGTCGAAGTTTTTCATCCAGGGCTTGTTTGATCCTTTCCAGGATGATGCGGCTTAGTATTTTGCTTGGGATGGACAGGAGCATAATTCCGCGCCAGTTCTTGCATTGACTTAAGTCAATAATAATAATAATATAAGATAAATATTCCCACACATCTACAGTTCAAACAAGCCGGGGCTTAACAGATATCCTAAACAGACACTTCAGTCGCTTGGGAACGGTTCACTCATCTGTGATGAAGTCAACTAGTCTAATAATTAATTATATGTCTACAAACAAATATCAGTTCTTGCAAAGATTTGCACTGTTTTTTTTTAAAGTTAATTTTCTCTTTTTCTTATTATTTTATTTTTATTTGACGAAAAGGATTTAGAAAATGCTCATTTTGAACTGACCGATACACTAAATAAATTGTTGCCAGAGTCTATATTTAAACAAATGGCAAAATATAAACACTTAGAGGTTAGTATATACATTCATATATATATATATATATATATGTATATATCATTTACTTATGTTATTGTAAATTATTTTATTTTGTTTATTCTAATAATACACGTGATAACTAACAATGAAGTTATTTAGTGATCAAACTCAAAAACATAAATCTAATTCTTACAAATCAACTATAGAAAATTAATCTGATGTTCGCTAGTGACCTACCACAGGACATAGTTTCCTGGAGTTCTAGTGAGAAGTCGTGACCAGTGAGGTCCATCCAGTTGGGAGTGAGGTTGGATTTCCCGCCGATGACGTTGGTTAGCGGTCACGCTAAAATTATGCATTGGTAGAAGTTAGAATTCACGGGCTAACCATTGAATCGGGTCACAATGGATTCCTTTGTAGTCGAAAGGCCCTGGGTTCGAACCTGGGTGCGTACTGCCTATGATTCCCAAACTAGGATGAAACAGCTGTCCAGTACTCCTGACTGGTTTTCAGTGGTTCTCTAACTAATATCTATCCATGTTCAAACTTGAAAAACAAACCTAATCCTCACAAAGCAGCTCTTAAAAATACAGTTTTAAGTTAACTTTTCAGAATTAAGGAAATTCCAACAACTGGTGTAATAATAACTACTTTATTAAATTAAGTAGAAAAGCGCTTGGGTCAATAAGGAATATAAGGCTTTAACATATTTCATTTTGACAATTATTCAAGTGTGGGGTATTTTCACCGACTATATGGACACACTTGTGTGTCACAGTTTAGTAGGCGAAAGATATTTTTAACAAAGCAACCATAGCGAAAGGGTTCAACGTCTAATAGTTCCTCATTTGTTATTTACAGTTGACTAATTCATAACTATTTAAAAGTCGAGTTTGTAGGGATTCTTTTAAATTTAAGATAAATGCCTCACAATGTCGCTGGTGCTATATAGTTAACTGACGAGATTTAAAGAGCATGAACTACAGAATCTCAACTCGGCGACTGAGTTATAACGTACCCACATTCTAACGTAACCATCTTGGATTATATTCCTAATGGGACATTGGGTTCCTTTGCCTAGCTATTCTAAACTAAATCCAGACACATATTAAGTGCTGCGGGTACGTTTCATGATGAACTTGACATTTTAACATTTTGTCGTTCAAAAAGTTACCCTGAGATACGACAAAACCCTGAAATTATTTGTATCTCAAAGTGTACTCATATTAATTTTCAAGTACTGGTTCTGCAAGGACTTTATTTGATTGGTTGGAGGATTTCATCGTGAGCTGACATAAGTTAGAGAACCAGTAAAACACCTGGGGTACTGGACAGCTGTTTTTCTTTAGCCTAGTTTGGCAGTAATCAGCAGTACACACCCACCGCCAGGGTTCGAACCCAGGTCCTTCAGGTTACAAGGCGAGCTAGCTTGTAGACCACAAAGGCACTGAGACACAATCCAATGGCCAGCGCATGAATTGTAACTTCTGCCAATTCGTGACATAGTGCGACCACTTCGCAATGTCTTCTTCGATGATTTACTGGCTCGCTTTAAACCTGCTGGCGGATGTTAGAATTCATGACCTGGCCATTGGATTGGGTCCCAGTGGCTGAGTGGTCTACGAGCTAGTTCACCTTGTAACCAAAAGGTCCTGGGTTCGAACCCTGGCGGTGGGTGTGTACTGGTGATTAATGCCAAACTAAGCTGAAGAAAAACAGCTGTCCAGTACTTCCAGCTGGTTTTTCAATGGTTCTCTAACTGATGTCAGCTCATGATGCAATCCCCCAATCAGTGTACATATGTTACCTGAGATAATACAGAAGTCAGATAGTCTGATTCGCCTACATCTATGCATTAAAATCCATCAATTCGTTTTATTACACTGAACAACAATATACACAAAAGAACTTATTTATTAGAACGCAGTTCTATATGTCAGAATGCTGAAACAAAAGACGGTAATTTTTACTTCCAGGTCAAGTGAATAATAATGAACAAAATACATAGACAGATAGACTAATTTTACTTTTTGGAAAAAATGGAGGAAACAGGTAATAACAATGTGCGAAGATCTTTAAAAAGTGATAAAAGCTTTTAAGGTGATTTTGTGACTATATGTGAGAAATCGGTAGTAAATCTTTGGAAGTTGTCATGAATGTGATTTGTTTTGTACAACTCCAGACATTTCAGAAGGATTGATTAGCGTTGTGTAATAGTCTAAGCTCCACACTGAAGATCAAACGGCCGGCCACAAAGAATTAGTAACAAGAAACTCTGACTGGGAACAAAACAACAGGCGAGAGCCGATCGCTCATCAGATGTGTATGATAAAATTGAGATGGATCGGGCATACGATAAGTAGGCCGTCGTATGACATCACGCGTATTGCAGGCCATCGCTCGAGTGGAATCCCGATGGGAAGCGATGAGTGGGTGGTCGGTGCTAGGGTGACGTGGATGAGATCGAATGGGGGAGGAGGAGGATGAGATGAGAGATTATGGTCAGTCATGGACCCAGATGAAGAGGACGGCAGAAAATAGGAGAAAGTGGAGATGTATATATATATATATGTAATATTAAACACTACTCCGAACAATAGAGATCATACACAATGGAAACTTTCGGCATTACGTATTCAGATGAAAGAGAGATGAAAATATCCAGTTACCATGGCAAAGAAAGACTGACAACTGCTACTTTCTGAACACACGCATAAATCAGGTTGCAGGCGTCTGATGGAGATGGCTTCAACAAACTTGAGGAGAATGGAGCTCTTTTGCCTATTGATAATTTTGAACGATTTTGCGACGTCCACCTCATGATGCGTGTCAAGGAGATGCCTGGCGATGGCACTGTTGAAAGCATTTGTTCTCTTTAGACATAGGCTTTTTGGTGCATGTTCAGAAAATCATAGATATGCCCTTCTTTCCCGCAGATACTGTGGGAGCGGTTTCATTGGAAGGACAGAATGAAGGGCATATCTACGATTTTCTGAACATGCACCCAAAAACCTATGTCTAGAGGGAACAAATGCTTTCAACAGTGCCATCGCCAGGCATCTCTTTGACATGGGTCATAAGTTGGACGTCGCCAAATCGTCCAAAATTATCAATAGGTAAAAGAGCTCAATTCTCCTCAAGTTTGTTGAAGCCATCTCCATCAGACGCCTGCAACCTGATTTATGCGTGTGTTCAGAAAGTAGCAGTTGTCAGTCTTTCTTTGCCATGGTAACTGGATATTTTCATCTCTCTTTCATCTAAATACATAATGCCGAAAGTTTCCATTGTGTATGATCTCTATTGTTCGGAGTAGTGTTTAATATTATATATATACTTATTATTACTGAATGCATATATTGATCGATTGCTTTTTGTTTAAAATGAAGTTTGTGCAAGTATGTTAAAATTGTTTCTGTAGATATACTTAATATTGACTGTGGCCTTTAAGCAGCTGATGAGAAGGCAACGAAATAAGCGATGATGGTACCATCATTAAGTGGAATAACTTTATGAAATTTCAATTGCATTCTTTGAACACGCTTATTAACGTAAATATCACTAAATATTTAGCACATTTTTTATTAAACAAGAGGTAATTTAGTAATTTTTCAATATTTACACGATTTTTATTTAGCCTCAATTAAAAGAATGGGAATCATCAGCTCATCGTGTAACTCGACAAAAACGTAATCTTGACCAAAGTTGTAATCGAAGTCGTAGCAGCGTTAAAATTGAGAAAGTAAGTTTATTTTATTTTGTCATTGTTTTTAAAATTTAAGTTATTTAGTGTGAAAAAGTATGACTGTGGAAGACTTCCTAGATTGATATTGCCGTTGAGAGACATTTGAACTCATACAAGAAATTAGAAAAAAGTCACTTTGTTGGGCTCTGAAGAAGGCGACTGTATGGAATATCCTTTTTTTTCTGAGTTGATACCATCTATCTACTTTATTCGGTGGGTATCATCAAGTTTCAATAAACAGGTCGTATATACTGGCATGACTTTTCTGAAAATAGAGCAGCGAATGTAACGCAGTTCAAGATTATAATGCCCCCCACAATATGTATGTCAGAAAAAGCTTTTTATTACAAAATTTCATTTTACAAGCACATAGAAACTGTAACCTGTCATTAAACCCCCATAGGAATGGCCTAAGACGGTGCAGTTGGCGAGGTTATGTAATAAAGCCCCCTCTTTGAATATCCTTTACATTCATGACGTTCATCGTGTACCTTTACATTCGAGACAAGAATCAAGAGAGGTCAAAATGTTTAATCTAAGACGTAACGATATTTATGATTAGACACTATTCAGCAACTAGTGTAATGTCTTTAGTCCTATCCTTGGTGCAGACTGAATTCTATCAATCAAGTTTGCAATGTGACCACCATGCTAGGTGGCTTGCCTCCTAATGGCCACATCGAAAACGTGACTGATAGAATTCAGTTTGCACCAAAGATAAGACTAAACACATTACACTAGTAACGAACTAGTGTCCAATCAAAAGTATCCAATGCAGTAGTCCTACAGGAGGTATCAATCCCCAGTCCGAATAGCTCAGTGGTAACGTCTCTGACTGCAGCGCTCACTGGGTGACTCTTGTTGAATCTCATCAGAAGGGACATGAGTTCCTTTAATGTGAATGCCAACTGGCACGAAACCTAAGTCTTACAAGGCTTCCTGTGGCCAATTGCCTCCAACCATGTATTATCAATAAAACTTAACGATACGTTATTCGGAAAGCAATTTATTTGAAGAAAAATAGTGGTAATTATGAGATTGCGAACTATACGATGGGAAGAGAACACTGAATAACAATATTCTACTATGAGCTTAGAATTCCACACTTTATCAAAAATATGTTTTGAATAAAAGTCATTATTACTATCATCATCAGTATCGGGAATTCATTAACTTTATTTTATCTTAATATTTGTTAGATAAATTTAGGGTTTATTCAAACTACTACAACACTAAACATGGTGATATTGTGATTGAGACTTTGAAAGACGACTAAGATACTCCCCTTTTCAAAACAATTTCATTTTTTTCCTTCACGTTCCCAGTGGAACATAGGGCTTCAAGCTAGTGCTTTGAAGTTTCTGTAGCAGCGTTTATTTTTACAGGATGGGGTTGCTAGCCTCATGCCTAACCTTTTCTCTTCACCAGCATTATTTCTGGCTTAGCGAGGTAAAGGAGTGCGTCGGCCGTGGATCGAACCCCGGACCATGTACACGGTCGGCGAGCGTCCTAACCACTATGCCACCGACGCACTTTCACAACAATAAAGTTTTCTAAAATTGTAAGGAATGAAATACATGTGGTATATATATATAAATCTGAAGAAGCCACCAAGTGACATCACTAGACAAGGCCTCGAGTGGAACCCGAAAGGGAAGTGGCGAGTTGGTCGTCAGTGCAAGGGTGACTTGGAGTAGGTCATGTGAAGAGGAGATGAAAACGTGTGGGCAGACTTGGAGCCAGGTGAAGACTCTAGCAGAGAACCGAACACAATGGAGACGCACGGCTGAAGCCCTATGTTCCTGTAGGAATTAAAGGAGACAATAATGATAATATATATATATATTGAAAGTTTTTTCGAGAGAGGTAACCAGACAGTATCCTTTTCTGATTCTATCCTTCTTCCTGTCTATTTCATTAAACTGCCAAATGAGTATGGAATCCAAACAAGAGGCAAAAAAACTGAGAATTAGAAAGAAATGAAAGGACGTTCTATTCTAGATTAGATTTTGTTAAGTGATACGATTTGAACCTTTTCAGTCAGCAATAAGAAAGGTTTTCAAATCCTAAAATAAGCCATCTTCTGTTAAATCGGAGGTCTAGCCTGAAACCAATCAAAGCCATGCCAACTAACATTTCAAAATTACTTTGATTGGACACTAGTAAGCAGTGTGATGTGTCTAGTCCTTTCTTTGTTGCAAACTGAATTCTTTCAGTCAGGTTTGCAATGTAGCCGCCATTCTAAGTAGCTCGCCATCAGGCTACACTCTGAAGTGTTGTTATTAGATGGTTGGAGACAATCGGCTACAGGAAGTCTTGTACGACCTAGGTTTCGTGCTAGTTGGCACTCACCAGTCAGTCAGCAAGGTGTATCTGCAACCTTGAAGGAACTCATTTCACTTCTGAGATTCGAACCTGCGTCAACCAGTGAGCGCTGTAGTCAGAGACGTTACCACTGAGCTATTCGGGCTGGGGATTGACCTCCTGTAGGACTACTGTATTGGATACTTTGACTGGACACTGGTTAGTAACTAGTGTAATGTCTTAAATGCTTTTGCAGACTGAGTTCTCTCAGTCAAGTAAATACCTATCCTCAAGTAGCTGAGTGGTAACGTCTCTAACTACAGCGCTCACTGGGTGACGTGGGTTCGAATCTCCTCAAAAGGGACATGAGTTCCTTCACCTTTGCAGGTATGTTTTGCTGACGAGTGCCAACTAGCACGAAACGTATGTCAAGCTGGGCTTCCTGTGGCCGATTGCCTCCAACCATCTAATATCATCTGAAAACAAATCTGATACTCAATGGTGAATAAAAAGATGATGAAGTTGCTGAGAGTTTCAGTGAAACAGCGTGATCATTGCGGTTTATGAAGTCAGGTGTGGGAACTAGTCCTCACCGTTGACACTGACTGGTGATGGTACTGCACATCACAAATTTATAAATGTTGGGACTCATGGGTCACAGGATTCCGTCTCAGTGGTTGAATGCCTAACGAGCTTAACCAATAACCTGAAGATCATCGTTTTCACCCCTGGTAGGGTCATGGGTGCGTCTTGCTTAAGAGTCCAGAACTAATTCGGAAGAAGCATCCAGTACTCCATGGTTTTCAATAATTCTCTAAATTTCATACACTTATTCCCTTCCATGAATTTGAATAAAGCATGAACAACAGTTTGCGCAGAATAAGATACTGCCATCGTTTATGTCGTCAGATTCTCATCATCCGCGTACAGCCCAGAGAAATTACTAGGTTAATGTTTAGAATAATTTTAACATACTTATAGGTGTTACGCAATATCAGCTGATGAAAAGAGACTGCAAACTTAATACAGAGTGCTTAGATATTACACTTATATAACGCATACACAGAGTTCAAGTTTACACAAAAAAGAAATAAACATTTGGATACAAACTCAAAAGAGTAACGTTTGTCGGACAGCGTGCTCTTTACTGCAATCAAAAGTTGACAGACACCAAGTTATCTCGAACTGTGTATACAAGTTTACATGCATCTGTATTATCAGTTACATTGACGGGATTGAAAGAAGCGTGCACCCTCCGTTTCCTGAATATGTGTCTAAAAGCCTCCGTTTCAAAGAAAACAAAGGCTTTCACTGGTGACATTCCTAGACATCTCGTTGATACTGGTCATGAGGTGGACATCGTGAAATCTTTTCAAATTATCAGCAGATAAAATATTTCATTTATCCTCAAGTTTACCGAATCAATCGCTGTCGAACTCCCAGAACTCAATTTGAATGTTCAGAGAGAAGCAGTTACCAGTCTTTTCTTACTCTAGTAGCCGAACGCCTTGATTCTTTTGACTCTTGACTAATTCCATTAATGACAGCGATTAGGAGAAGAGAGAAGTATATTACCGCACTGAAGCAACTCGTCATCATTTCCTGTACAATCATAAATTATTATTATATTATTGTTTCCTTTAATTCCTAGAGGAACATAGGGCTTCAACCGCACGTCTCCATTGCGTTCGGTTCTTCACCGACGTATACACCTGGCTCCACGTCTGTTCACATGCTCTCATCTCCTCGTCGCAACACCTACTCCGTGTCACCCTCGGACAACTGACTTACCACTAACCGAGCAATGGCCTGGCGTGTTATGTCACTTGATGGTTTGTTTTTTCAGAGTATAGCCTCTAATCCACCTCCATTTCTTCCTGAATATTTGTTGCACAATTGGTTCCTGCTAGGTTGGTTCGCTCCCAGAGATCCATCCCTGTTCCTGATATCTTCTTGCCAGCATTGAGCGAAGACAGCTGTTGATGAAACTCTGTAGTTTGTTCTAAGAATTACTTCTCAAATGCGCAATGAATGTTCACTTTGTCTTCAACAATTCATACTACCAACAAGTAGATGGAATAGCGCTATGGGTTTTTCACCATTAGGCCCAATATTAGCTGACTTCTTTTTCGCAAAACTTGAAAAAGGGAAATTGAAAGAGAGTATCAAGGAGTTTGATATGTATTACCGATATATCGATGATACATTTATCTTAAGTGATGGGAATGTTAACATAGACGAATAGTTACTGAAATTCAACAACGTCCACCCTTCGCTTACGTTTACTTGTGAAGAGGAGCAGGAGAATAAACTACATTTTCTGGATGTCCTACTAAGTAGGCGAGAAGATGGGTCACTTGGGAGAAGCGTGTATAGAAAAAGCAGATTCACAGAGCAATAGACACACTTCCTTAGTTACGTGTCCATTAAATATAAAAGAAATGTTGTAAAATGTCTTGCGAGCAGAGCAAGAAAGAAATGTACGGATGACTTCTTACAAAAGGAATTTGACGGAGATGGGCTACCCGAGTAGTTTCATAAATAAACATATGAAAACATCAGAGAGAAAACCTGAGACTCTGACTGCATGTAAGAAACCTCTATTTATTAAGTTACGATTTAATGGTGACTTATCAAGTGAGATTTTATTCCAGAGACTTTCCAGGAGTATACGGAGAACGATTCACACAGCATGCCTATGTTTGTCACTCTCTAGCCGACGAATAATTGGAACGCAAACGAAGGATAAGCTTGATAGTTTTGCCACATCCATGTGCATTTATCAATTCAACTGCACCTGCGGTGACAGTTATATTGGGCGTACTACTAGATAGCTTAGCCAGCGTGTCACTACTGAACATCTCCCATCGTGGTTTGGCAAAGGACAGACAAGAAGAATCCGTGGCTTAATTTTGTCACATTTAATTGATTGTAGTCATGTAGTGGAAAAAACGAGAGCCTTCAAAGTAATTCATCGTATCCCACCGAATCTTTCCAAAAGACTTCTTATCCGTCTATTGGACACAGCTGATGCGATAGGCATTCGGGCCATTAAACCTAAACTGTGCATTCAAAAGGAGTTCGTACAGCCATTATACCTCCCTTGGCCTATTAAGACTTATACACCACCCCTTACTCATATTTTCATCCCCTTTCTTATCATCCCTTAATCTTATCACACATCTTCATTAAAAACATGTCTCATTTACTTCCCTTACAATTTAGCATTACTTAATCGGTTTATATGATTTTACTAGTCTTTATCGACTACTTCCACCTGAACGTTTGTTTGTTTAATCATGTTGTTTTTCATTATTCGTGTTATTACAGATTGCATCACTTTTTCATCCTTATTATTGATAAAACCATTATTATTATTATTATGACTAATTGCACAATTTAAATGCACGATCTTATTATCCTATAGAGAAAACATTATGATTGGTTTATATTTGAATTTTTATTTGTAAACTTATGTATATTAGGTGCATCGGTGGCATAGCGGTAAGGACGCTCGCCGACCATGCACATGGTCCAGGGTTCGATCCCCGGCCGGCGCACTCCTTTATCTCGCTAACCCAGAACTAAAGCCGGTGAAGAAGAAAGGTTGGGCATGAGGCTAGCAACCCCAACCAATAAAATAAACCCTGCTACAGATACTTCAAGCCTCTAGCTTGAAGCCCTGTGTTCCACTGGGAACGTGAAGGAATAACAGAAATGTATATTAGAGTTAAGTCTGATGAGATCTAATTGAAAACAGTATTGTTCGCTTAAATGTCTTGTTCTAGATTTCATTGAATAAATATTTAATCATCATCATCATCATCATCATCATCATCATCATCATCATCATCATCATCATCATCATCATCATCATCATCATCATCATCATCATCATCATCATCATCATCATCATCATCATCATCATCATCATCATCATCATCATCATCATCATCATCATCATCATCATCATCATCATCATCATCATCATCATCATCATCATCATCATAACAATGGTTTTCATAGATTTGCAGTCACTTGTTGTTGTTGTTGTGGTAGTGGTGGTGGTTTCTCCAAAACAGAAAATCGTCACTGATGTTTTCTTTCACTCAGTGTCACTAAATCTTGAAGGCTTCTAATCTCTGGGTTTTTTGGGATAATATTGTAACAACAGAAGACAAGGGCCAGGCAACAGATCGTTTATTAAGGAAAATCAACACAGATTTATAGATTTTACTGTACATTATTGTAGATTTTTGTTAGTAGAAAATGAAGTCTTTTGATTAGTTGTTTCTCACAGAAATTTAACCTTGCATCTCTTTGTGGCTGTATCAGATCATCCATATGCTAACTGTATCCTCCTACGCAAAGCCTTTACTCTCATTTTCTCACCAGCAATACTGGGGACATAAACATTGACGTCAATTACTGTCTAGCAACTTTGGCTAGCAGCCAGATCTCACCACAATATTACTTAATCTTTGTTTGTTTACTTTCGACTTTTTGTTTTTACCTTGTATAACAGGCACATATTAATTACAGAGCATCTTCAATGAATCATGATTATTTAACTAATTATTTAATGGATACAATGAATACACTTGAAAATGAGTAAGTTTCAGTCTTTTTTTACTTTTCTTCTTAATAAAAATAACAATTATTAATCTTATTATTTAAACAATGGTTTGTAGGGATTTTCGTTTGATTGATTGAAGGATTTCATCATGAGCTGACATCAGTTAGAGAACCATTAGAAAATCTGGAGTACTGGACATCTGCTTCGTCCTGGTTTGCGATTCTTCATCAGTTCACACCCACCGGGGTGAAGAAGACCGCCTTCGTGGCGTGAAGGTAGTGAAAAGGACTTACTTTGCAGAGGCTATGAACTCGTGGCCATATGAGTCTACACCGCCCATGGCGGTAGCAGTTTCTTTATAGGAGCAGCCTAACAAGTTGGTAAATATAGGAAACGCTTAGATATCGTTGCCTAATGTATTTAGTAAAAATACTGGAAGTTAAATGAATACAACTGTCACTGGGTTCGACGATTACTGAAGATTAGCAGTGTATGAGTGATACAGCTAACTAAATGTTGTTATTTTTGTGGTATTAATGGTGCATAGTGTGAGTTAATAGTTCTAGGATTAAGTGAGAATTAAACCGGTTAGTTAATATGCTTTGTAATCATACTACTACGCAATTCTTCAGGCATCTGCTGTTCATAATCAGTAATTGTTCACTTTTGTATCCAATATGGAATGAAACAGGATAGGATAGGTGTTGTATTATTATTATTCCCTTTGGTTCCGAGTGGAATATTTGGCTTCGACAACACATCTCCACTTTGTCATATCGTTTGCTGTCTTCTTTAGCCAGGTCTACGACTGACCATAATCTCTCATCTACTCGTCCCCAGACGATCTCCTCCATGTCACCCTAGCACTGACGACTCACTCATTGCTTCCCATTCACCCTAGGGCCTGGCTAGAGATGTCATTGAATGGTTTCCTCAATCTATCCCGATCCATTTCCATTTTCCTCTACATATTTGTTGAGTGATGGACTCTTGACCAGTTTGTTCCCAGAGTTTCTTAATAATTATTCTTTCTGACTGGCCATTTGATCTTCAGTATGGAGCCAGTGAAGGCATCTGTTGATAAAATTCTGCAATCTGTCAAAAACACTTTCCAAGACACGCCCGCCAAGTTCCTGACCCGTTTAGAAGGACCGACTTGACATTGATGTTCACAATCCGAATGTTGTTCTTTATGCTGAGGCGGAGTGCAGAAGATTACCAAACTGGTTTCATGTTGATGAAGGCGAATCTTGCCTTTCCGATTCTGGCTGGCTGGATTTGACATCTTCATCCGTTCTGACTGTCTGTGGTTGAAACTATGCTTCCTAGATAAGTGAAGGAAGTAAACTCTGTCAAATCTCTCCCTTTGATGGTGATTGGTGCTGGTTGTTGCTGATGGTGGTGGTTGGTTTTCTTCATCACCTCCGTCTTCACTTTCTGTATGTTCACCTGAAGTCCTGTCTTCGCTGCTCAAGTATTTTACCAGTTTGTTGATTTCACTGGTAAGTCTTCTAGTTGGTGTGACACTAGACATATATCATCTGCAAAATCCAGGTCTTCTATAGTCTTCTGATTGGTCGTCTAGAGCATTATTGACTCTTCGCTCCCAACGCTTAGTCTGACCCATAATCTTGCCAGTCCACCACAATTAAGAATATCATCGGCAGTCTTGTCTTACACCTGTATGCACTTCGAACGCCTCGCTGAGTTTTCCGTTGTGGATCACCATGTGGTGTGAGCTGTCTGCAAGCCAAAATTGGTAGACAGCCATTTACGTCAGTGTTTACGTCCCAAATCGTGGTCATGAGAAAAAAACAAGAACAAAGATTAACTCAACAACCAATCACAGCAGAGTTGGCGTGGGCGGATACGATTCACAGATATATCAATGGACAAAGAGATGACAGAATAACCTTCGGCAGGAAAACAACCAATCAGAAGACGTCACCTCTTCGCTAACAATAAAGAATAATAATGTACATAGAAATCTATAAATATCTGTTGATTTTCTCAGTAAACGATCTGTTCCCTGGCCCTTTACTTCTGTCGTTAAAACATGACACGTGGCATTTTCATATAACCAGATTGGATATTGCACGCCGTAGTGTTGAAGTAGTTCCCAAATTACTTCCCAGTCAACGCTGTTTGTTGAAGGCCTTTTCAAAGTCAGTGAATTTGAGGTAGAGGTTTGACTGCCACTCTAGGCTTTGTTCTGTGATGACGATGCGTAGAGTTGCAATGTGATCAGCACATAATTTTCCCTTTCCTGAATGCAGCTTCTTCCGTTCCGACGGAATTATGCATCCAGTGCATCTTTCATTCTCTCCAGGATGATGGGACACATTATTTTACTTGGCGTGGAGAAGAGCATTATTCCACGCCGGTACTTGCAGAGTGAGGCGTAAGTCACCCTTCTTTGGCAGCTTGACGAGGTAGCCAGCCTTTCTTGCAATCGGTAGGTACCATCCCTTCTTTCCAAACCCTTTGCAATAATGGCGTGAGAACTTCTGCTGCAGTCTCTGGGTCCGTTTCCAGTGCTTCGGGTGGAATTCCGTTTGGTCCTGCTGCATTCCCGCCGGTGTTCAGCAGCTTGATCGCATTTAGGATTTCTGCTTTCGTTGGAGGATTAATATCCACTGGAAGACAGTTCTGTGCATGCTGTTGGTGGTAGTGGTATTTCTGGACGAGTTGCAGGAGTCCTTTGAAGTGATCAGCCCATTGGTTTATTTGTTTCTCCTCCTTGGTAATCAGCTCTCCTTGAACATCTTTTATCGATTGTATTGTATTTAACGTTAATTAAAGAATCTGGAAAATATATATTTTAACTTTATCTGATTTTCGAAGGAATTTAAAACTTTCAAATGCTTCTTTATGAAATGGAACAAATTGAAGATATAACAAAATTCTAACCCATTTAACCAGTCAGTCAGTGATCCGGTCACTATTTGGTTGATCATTCAGGTTAACATCACTCCTCTTTTCTCACAATTAATAGCGCTAGGACGCTTGCCGACCATCCACATGGTCCGAGGTTTGATCTCCGGCCGACTCACTCCTTTACCTCGGTAAGCCAGAAATAATGCTGGTGGAGAGGAAAGGTTGGGCATGAGGCTCGCAACCCCATCCTGTAAAACAAACACTGCTACAGAAACTTCAAGCTGCTAACTTGAAGCCCTATGCTCCACTGGGGAACGTGAAGGAAAAAAATCATTTATTATCAAAGTTTGTATTTGAATTCTATGGTTACTGTATACATATAATTTTATATATGGTTTGTAAGATATAAAGTAATTTACGATGGCCTCCATTATCAATCAAGTGACTAGGGAAAAGGCGGGGAGTTTAAGCCAGTAGCTACGTCTTGGCTTGAAACAGCTGAATAAGAGAAATACCGATTTCCTGCTAGGATGACGTATATGCATATATATATATATATATTCAATGCAAACGTTTACAGAATTATCACTGCTAGCAGATAGACTCTAGATACTAAAATCTAGATTACTTAAACCAAAATGGGATTTTATTCTTTCTTCTCAAAGGATAAAATCTCTCTTTATACACCAAAGTGTTACACAATGTCAGTCGACTGGAAACTGCAAACTTAATAAGCAGTACTCAGGAATTACACTTATCATAGTCAATAGATGGAGGGTTCAAGTTTAAGCAAAAATAGAACTTTTGGATACAATAGTAAAAAGGTTACGCAATAAAGACACTAGGTGAATAGGATGATGGATACTTAATAAAATGTGTAGCAGTGTGCTGTAATCAGGTCATATCTTAGGGATAAGAGGCAAGCAAAGTCACACTATATCCAATGGTGGAGAGGTTGAAGCCAAATACTACCTGATCACATGAAGGGAAGAGTAATTCATCCAAATGCTTGGGCGAAAAAAGACTGAAAACTGCTTCTTTCTAAGCACATAATTCAAGTTTCAGGCGTTTAGCAGTGAATACTTTGGCAAACTTGAGTAGAATTGAACTGTTTTGTTGATTGATAGTTTTAAAGGATTTCATGGTATGAAGTTTATGATCGGTAGCGATGAGATGCCGGTGATAATGCCACTCTTATAGACTTCAACTTTATGGGTATCATACATATAAGTGTAATTTTCTGAGAACTGTTTATAAAGTCTAGAGTCACCTGCCAGCTGACATTACGTAACATTCCCAAGTATGCTAAAGTTGTTCTGTACACCAACTTCATAATTTATATAGGCTATACGCAGCTGATAAAAAAACCGATGAAATAAATGATGGTACCACTTGATTTCTGGACAAACTGTGTTGTTCTTGCTGTATTCAAAATTTATTTTCATACAGCTAGTTCCCTGGGATCAGAAAACACAGGAAGGGAACTCATCATGGGTAGAGAAGCTCTCGGAGAAATGAATGAAAATGGAGAACTCTTCGCCGACTTCTGCGCCTTCAATGAACTAGTGATTGGTGGCAGCGTATACAAACACAAGGATATCCACAAGGCTACATGGGTGTCACCAGATGGGCGAACCAAAAACCAAATTGACTTCATCACAATCTCGAGGAAGTGGCGGCGCAGCCTACTGGACACAAAAGCAAGAAGAGGAGCAGACGTTGGCTCAGACCACTACCTCGTACAAGGAACAATCCAACTCAAATTAAAAGCTTTCAGAGAAACAGGAGCTGCAGATAGACCACAAGCCAAGTTCAACACTCAAAAACTAAAGGACCAGGACACAAAGGACATCTTCACTGCAAGTATAAAAGACAAAGCCGAGACACAAATCAACACTGGCGAAGAGGTCAGCGTCGAAAAGCACTGGAACAACTTGAAGACAGTGTGGAGTCAAACCTGCATGGAAGTTCTGGGCAGAAAGAAGAGACAGGACAAACCGTGGCTCACTACGGACATTTGGAAACCAATAGAAGATAGAGGGATGGTGAAACAAAAGATTCTCCAGTGCACCGACGAGCAACAGAAACAGGAGTTGAATGCAAGCTACAATACACTGAACAAAGGAGTAAAGAAGAGTGCCAGAGAAGACAAAAGAAAGTATTATGAAGCCATGGCCAATGAAGCAGAACAAGCAGCAGGCAAAGGAGACCTCGCAACACTCTACCAAACAACTAGGTACCTCTCAGGCAAAAATTCGTCACAAATTAAGCCAGTGAAGGATGACAATGGAAAGTCAATCACCAAAGAAGTGGAGCAAAGGAAACACTGGGCTGAACACTTCAAAAGACTACTAAACCGACCGCCACCTACAACGCGCCCAACAATACCAACAACGGAAGCAGAATTACCAGTGAACATCAACCCCCCGAGGAGAACAGAAGTCCTGAAGGCAATCAAGATGCTGAAAGCTGGAAAAGCAGCAGGACCAGATGGAATCCCAGCAGAGGCATTGAAAGTGGACCCAGAGACAACAGCGGACTTGATGACGCCACTACTGGAGAAGGTGTGGAAAGAAGGCAAAGTACCCGAGGATTGGAAGAAAGGATACTTATTCAAACTACCAAAGAAAGGAGACTTAAGTCAATGCAAGAACTGGCGCGGAATTATGCTCCTGTCCATCCCAAGCAAAATACTAAGCCGCATCATCCTGGAAAGGATCAAACAAGCCCTGGATGAAAAACTTCGACCGGAACAAGCTGGATTCAGGAGAAACAAGTGATGTATTGATCAGATCGCCACATTACGGATCATCATTGAACAAAGTTTGGAGTGGCAGTCACCTCTCTATCTCAACTTCATCGACTTTGAAAAGGCCTTCAACAGCATCGATCGAGAGGTGATTTGGCAACTACTTCGCTACTACGAGGTGCCACCGACAATTATACATCTCATCCAACAACTGTCCGACAATTCTGCATGCCAAGTAATCCACAACGGGAAGCTCACGGAATCCTTCGAAGTGAAGACAGGAGTAAGACAGGGTTGCCTACTATCGCCAATGATTTTCCTGATTGCAGTAGATTGGATAATGCGACAAACAGCGGGGAATGCGGAAACAGGCATAAAATGGACTCACGCAAACGACTTGGAGGATCTGGACTTCGCCGATGATTTATGTCTGATTTCCCACAAACTGGAAGATATGCAAGCGAAAAGCAACAAGTTGGCAGAAGAAGCATCAAAGATAGAAAAGACTTCAGGTGAACATAGGGAAAACAGAGGTGATGAAGATTCCTGGGCAACACCACCAACAGCAACAACAACAACAGAAAACAATCAGCATAAATGGGAGGAACCTGAAAGAAACAACCTCCTTTACCTACCTGGGAAGCATCGTTTCAACTACAGGCCGACGAAACTGACGAGGACATCAAAGCAAGAATCAGGAAAGCAAGACAAGCTTTCACTACTCTCAAGTCTGTGTGGAGGTCAACATCACTCAGCATCAAAAGTAAGATCCGGATTTTCAACTCCAATGTGAAGTCAGTCAGTGCTACTATACGGATCAGAGACTTGGCGTGTCATAAAGAGCATCTCAAACAAACTACAGACCTTCATTAACAGTTGTCTTCGCTCAATACTCAAGATTAGATGGCCGGCCAGAAAAGATCAGCAACAGAGATCTCTGGCAATGAGCGAACCAACCCAGCAGGAACCGATTGTGAAACAAATAGGCAGGAAGAAATGGAAATGGATTGGCTTGTCATACTCTGAGGAAACCGTCGAGTGACATCACTAGACAAGCCATTGCTCGAGTGGAAGCAGAAAGGGAAGCGGCGGGTTGGTCGTCAGTGCGGGGGTGACTTGGAGGAGGTCATGTGAAGAGGAGATGAAAGCGTGTGGGCAGACTTGGAGCCAGGTGAATACTCTAGCAGAGAACGGAACGCAATGGAGACTCACGGCTGAAGCCCTATGTTTTTCTAGGAATTAAAGGATACAATAATAATAATAAGGTGCAGTAGGTGTTTCAACTGTCTTCATAGTTAAAAACTACCAAGTACCTATCACAAAAAAGCACATAGTACGATTCGTTAAACCATCACTGTATTAAATGGTTGGAGATAATCGGCTCCAAGAAGCCTTGTCTAACCTAGGTTCCGGGCCAGTTGGCAGGTGTATCTGCAAGCTTCATGGAACTCATGTCCATTCTGAGAGATTCAAACTTGTGTCGTCTAGTGTGCTGCAGTCAGAGACGTTGCCACTGAGCTTTTAGGGCTGGTGATTGACCTCCTGTTGGACTAATGTATTAGATACTTTGACTGGATACTAGTTAGTAACTAGTGTAATGTGTCCAGTCCAGTCTTGGGTACAGACTGGTGGAAATAGGACCATGACGTCGAGCCACCTAGAATGGTGGCCATATTGCAAACTTGATTGATAGAATTCAGTTCGCACCAAAGATAGGACTAGGCACATTACACTAGTTACTGACTAGTGTCCAATCATAGTAAACCATCATTGTCTTTACTGTTCTCTTATACACCGTTTGTAGTTTTTAGAAAAAACATTCCATGAATCATTGAACGTGATTTAAATGTCATGTTGTACAAATTTTGAAAAAGAAGAGTAGTACTACTACTACTAATTATTTACTCTTGCATTTGCTTTTGTTTTAAGAGGTACAATGGCCTGCTGTGATGCTTTATTTGTCCTTGTTTCAACATACAAACAATTTAGTGATCGAATAAGTTCTGTGAGTTGTATTTTTGAAAAAAGCTGATGTCTATTTTTCAAGTTGTTTTTAGTTTTTATTAACACATTCACGAGTTGGTCACGGATTGATATCAGTTAGAGAAGCACTGAGAACCAGGGAGTACTGGACAACTGTTTCCTCCATCTCTGGTTTGGGAAACATCGGCTATAGGCATCCACTGCCAGTGCTCGAACCCAGGACCTTCTGAGTACAAAGCAAGCTCGTATACGGTTCAGCCACTGGAACCCGATTTAATGGCCAGTCCATGAATTCTAACTTCTACCAATTCATGATTTAGCACGAACACCAAGCAATATCATCAGTGGGACATCCATCCTCATACGTAACTGGATGGACCTCACTGGTCACGAATTTTCACTAGAACTCTATGAGACTATGTCCTGTAGCGAGTCACTAGAGCGCATAAGATTAACATTCTACAGTTGGTTTATAAAGATTAGTTTTTTTCACGAGTTGGTCACCGATTGATATCAGTTAGAGAACCATTGAAAACCAGGGAGGTAGAAGTTAGAAATCATGGGCTGGCCATTGAATCGGGTCCCAGTCACTGCATGGTATACGAGCCTACCAAGTAACAGGAAGGTCCCGGGTTCGAATCCCAGTGGCTGCGTACTGCCGATGACTCCCAAACTAGGCTGATGAAACGGCTGTCCAGTACTCCTGGCTGGCTTTCAATGATTCTCTAACTGATATCAGTCCGTGATCAACTCGTAAAAACAAAACTAATCCTTACAAACAAACTGTGGATAATGCATTCACTTCAAAATAAGAACAATCAAATAATGATGATTGAAATAAGGCGGTAAAAAATTGTAGCCTTCAATGATTTGAATTGAAATCCTTTATTTGATTAGTCAAACACTCTAATAAATCACCATTGGGATGTAATTGTGGGTTATTTCATTTTCTCACGTCAAATATGGGATGATGTTATAGGACTGGACTACATCGACAACTCCTAGCTTAAAGACAGGGAGTGAAATGGTAGAGAATGTTGACCACTTCACTTATTTGGGGAAATGCATCAAGCTCAACAGGCTGATAGTTGAATAAATCTCATCACGGATACAAAGGGCTCGTGTGACATTTGACAACCTGCATCATTTCTGTTGCAGACATGATACTGATCGGTTACCGGTCCAAGGACGCGTGTGCTGCGAAAAGGCTAGCTGTCTCTGATCATAGATGCCTGGGTTCTCTCTCTCATGTTTGGTGGTATAATGGGGTGGGTAATGTTGTGGTTAGACGTCGACTTAACCGGCTGAGATGTCTAGGACGTGTTACTTATGCCTAGCTATCGCTTTCCTCTACCGGCATATTCGTTCACGTAGGAACGGGTTAGAAAAGAGCTAGTAGTGATCAAATTGAAACATGACTTCAGTCTATGAAATCTTTGACAGTCTGTGTGAGCTACTTAAGTTGGTGCTGACTGCCTGTTTGAAGTCTTTGGGATTCTGAGAACCAATGACTGTTGGGGAAAATTTCTGATATGACCTGAAATTGTTCTTAATAGTGCAGATTCATCCACTCTTTGTGATCTTCCATTTCCATTAGCCCCGTTGTTTTTCCTTGTAACTATTCTTTCTCCCTCACATTTCTGCTTAATATCGTTCTTTTGAAATTCTTTACTCTCTTTTGTCTTCCTTTGTGTTATATGTGGAGTGTGGCAAGTTGAACTGCTGCACTTCTGTGCGAAGTTCTATAATGGAACCAGTCAGTCAGTGGGTCAGGTGACAAATAAATTATATAACTTCAACAACTCACGTATATAATTCCCATGTGATAGCTAAAGACATCGACTTATTAAAGAACTAACGAAAAGCCCTAAATTATGTTACAGGTTTGAACATGAGCTGATATCAGTTAGAGAGCTATGGGAAGATCAGGGAGTACTTGACAACTGTCTCGGCCTAGTTTGAGATAATTCAGTGGCACTCCGCCACAAGGTTTGGAGCCCACAATCCTCCGGTTAGAAAACTAGCTGGTTGACCGTTGAGCCACTGAGACCTGACTCAGAATCATTTATTAAGTGTTTGACTCAGTTGGACAGTAACTGATGCCAGGCATCAAATCCTTTGTTTGCTGCAGACTGAATTCTATCAGTCAAGTTTGTAATGTGGCCACCATTCTAGGTGGTTTACCATCACGGTTCACTGTGAATTCTTGATATTAAATGATTACAGACAGTCGGCAGGAAGCCTTGGACACCTATGTTTCGTGCTAGTTGGCACTCACCAGTCAGTCAGTCAGCAAGGCGTATCTGCAACCGTGAAGGGACTCATTTCCCTTCTGAGATTCGAACCCGGATCACTCAGTAGTGCTGCATTCAGAGACATTGCCACTGATCTCTTACGGCTGGAGATTGACCTTCTGTAGGAATGCAATGGATACTTTAGCTGTTTACCAGGTAGTAGCCATCGTTATACCTCTAGTCCGTAGTTTAATGCAGACTGTATCCTTTCACTTATACGATGAGGCATTTAGCTTGGTAGATATACTGACAACTTGGCTGATACAATTCAGTGCCCACCAAACCAAGGACTAGACGAGTGACTCTGGTTACTAACTATTAACAGACTTTGAGACGTATGAATTGTTTGAGGGCTGATTATGAAAACCAGTTGCTCAGGTCGAATTACATGCGGCTGGACTTGAGTTCGAGACCAGTTGACTGCAAACTGGATGCCTGAACTCATGAGTCACATTTCCACATGCTATGTGTATATTACAAAGATCAGAAGTATCTTCCATTTCTGTATGAATAGATTCATTGATGTAGGGAAGTATCTGTGATAAAGTGATCAAAGAATAGACACTTCATAAAATCACTTTTGCAAACCTGGAGCTATTTTTCAGATAATTTCTTTTGAGTTTTATAAATAAACGTCATTGATAGCTTCATTGTAGACAACATGTTTGAATAACATTATAGTTTATTGGTGGATGGTAACTAGCAGTGGAATCCACCAGGATGCGCATTTCGTCCTATTTGGGACTCGTCATCCGGTTGTGCTTGCATTCTGCAGTGAGTGATGATGATTCCCACCGAGGCTCAAACCCAGTGCTCATAGTTTCTAACGCCGAAGCGTTATCCATTAGACCACTTGAGTCATCAATTAAATTCTAATTACATGCCAAGACATCGTCGAAGCATCTGCACAAGGGGCCGCCATGTCTACCTGAGACCGAGCACTTCGGTCCAATCAATCGACGGGACAATCTAAAATTGAATTAAATAACATTAACGTTTTATCAGGCTGAGTTTTTGAAAGCCATAAGCATTTTGTAGTGATAACATTCAATAGATTTAAACGGTGGTGACATTTAAGCCTAGGAATGCTTAATAACCGGATTTGTTTTGCAGATTTTCCCAAAAGTAATCAATCAATAAAAATGAATACAGTGATTTCTAAGTACTTCTTCATCACTGATTATTTTATATTCAAAAGAATGGTTACTGAACAAAGAGTACTCTTTTCGATAACTTCATCATCAGGCTCTACAGTTATATATACATTATAGTGAATAAATGAATTATTGTTATTAACAACATTAATGTTGTTCAAATAACATTGAATCAATAATATCAATAGATTACAGTTCAGAAGCATTAACATAACAATAAACTGAATGTCAGAAAAATTAGGAAAGATAATAATACAAATTCATGAATTTATAGTCTCCTCTGAAGCCCGGCCAGAGCAGTAGTAGTGGCCAGCTGGACTTGCTTCTTTTGCACACAAAGCACAGGTTATTTAAGGCGAATCGTGATAACCTCTACTGTTTGGAGTACTCGGTATCTGGATGTTTTCAACAATTTGTATGGTATCCAGTAGATGATAGAGAAGGATTCTTCAATACTGGCTTTATGACCAGTGTGGACCAGGTAGTCTAATATCGAACTGTTGATGGTTTTTACTACACATTTACTTAGCCACACTGGAAGATGTTTCCGAGCACGAAAAATCGAGTTCCTATAGCAACAACCAATATAACTCGTTCCACCACAAGCGCAGTTGAATTGGTAGACATAATTAACATTGGCTAGTCTAGTTACTTCATCTTTCAATTGAGGAATCACCATCGGTCGTGTAGAGAATAAGACGTGCAGTCCGCCAGCATTAAAAGTTCTGTGACCTGATTTTCCTAATTTCTTCGCAATTATCTCACTTGGTATATCGCCCTTGAATTGCAGTCATATATAAAGAGGCTTCTTGTTTACAGATAGTGAGTAGTCCTTTTCCGCTTTCTTTGTCATGTATTTCTTGATAAGTTTTTCGGGATAGCCATTTTCAATCAAGGTATCACACATAATGCTTAATTCATCTTCAATTACTTCTTCTGAGCATATAGCTCTAACTCTGTGGCCGAGTGAGGTTCTTTACTAAATTTCTTTTGTACTGAAGAAGAACGAAGCTGTGAAAATGTCTATATTGTCCTGTCAGTGTACCTTTTTATGCAAATTTCTTTTTATGCTACCATCCGGTTTTCTTTTTCTGTTTTGGGATTCCTCTTCGTATTCTTTTACATTCTGAATGAACCATAAGGCTTCAAGTTTAAGCTTTAACATCTCATTTCGCAGTTGTGTTTATGCTTAAGAGGAGGGGGTTGGGAATCCTAGCCTCATACTCAATCTTCCCTTTTTACGCGTTTTACTACCGGCTAAAAGAGATTTAGGAGTACGTTTGCTCAGGGACTGAACCCCGGACCACATGAAGTGTGGTTGGTGAATGCTCCACCATTGAACCCCTGACTCAAGTACTTCTTTCCTTAGATTAATTCTCATCTTCTACATGCATAACAGGATAGATTCTATATTATTATGTTTAAAGACAAATTAGCTATTAGTATTTATTTTTATTATTATTATCACTATTTTTACTTTCCGTGTCATGTGAACTTCCTTTGTTTGCATTAATATTGAATTATGTATTGGACATTTAACCAGTTAATTGTTGATCGATGAAATACTATTTACA